TCCAACATCTGCAGCATCCAACATCTGCAGCATCCAACATCTGCAGCGTCCAACATCTGCAGCATCCAACATCTGCAGGGTTCTTGTAGGAGCGTTCATGTAAATAATGTCACCGTGATCAATTGAGGGAAGGAAAGTCACAGATACAAGGTGTTTCCTAACATTCAGAGTTAGACAGGATCTGTTTCTGAAAAAGAAACCCAGTTTAACTTTCAGTTTCTTTACCAAGTTTTCCACGTGGAGCTTAAAAGAGAGATGTGAGTCGACCAAGATACACAAATATTTATAGGAATCAAAATAAAAAGAAATAATGGGATGGATGGATAGATGGATGGATGGATGGATGGATGGATGGATGGATGGATAGATGGATGGATGGATGGATGGATGGATGGAAGAACATCACTAAAACAGCATTTTTTTCAAATTAAGAATATTGTCAAAATCAGAGCATTTATCTCTTTAACCGACGCAGAAACTCTTATTCATGCTTTTGTCTCCTGTCATCTTGATTATTGTAACTCTTTATTTTCTGGTCTGTCCCAAAGTTCTCTGTATCGCCTTCGATTAGAACAAAACACTGCAGCTAGAGTTCTCACAAGGTCCCATAAAGATCAGCACATCTCTCCTGTTCTGTCCTCATTGTGTTGGCTCCCTGTGCTTTTTAGAATGGACTTCAAAATGTTAGTTTGTTTTAAATCCCTGACTGGTCTTGCACCATCACATCTGTCTGAGCTTCTTACTCTTCTATCCCTTCTTGCAGCCTCAGATCCTTAAATCTGTTACTGTCCACTCCCAGAGCTCGAATGGTGACAGGAGGAGGTTTAATGGTCAGGGCTCCTAATCTGTGGAATGCTCTTCTTCTAAATATTAGACAGGCCTCTTCAATGTCTTTTTTAAATCAATAGTTAAAATTTACTTGTTTTAATTAGGCTTTGTATTTTTATTTTCATTTTGTCTTATTGTATTTTAATAAATTTGGTATAATCTGTGTTTCTGGTGTCATTTATGATGTTGTTTTAATTGATTAATGTGAAGCACTTTGTAACGTGTTTAAAAAATGCCATGCAAATAAAGTATTATTATTATTACCGGTATACCTTTGATCTTAGCGTGCCATTTGGCGTTCGTTTAGTGAATATCTTATCAATCAACCTTTATTTCTCCAGGTAAATCCCATTGAGCCTCGAGGACTCATTTACAAGAGAGACCTGATTTCAACAAAGAAAGATGACAACAATGGACAACAGCAACAACAATAAGCAATTATAAAAACTCATACTACAGTTTTTTTTTTTTTTTAACAAATAGGATGGCTAAAAGGAAAAAGGTAACAAAACCAAAAAAAACTGCTAGATTCCGAGACAAATGTATAAAACTAAAAACAGGAACATGTCTGCATTGGACCCTGCCAGGAGTCCAACAGATTCTTAAAGCCACTTAGAGAGGTCAAGGTCGAGAGCTTCAAATCTTTTTGTAAGATATTCCAGGAAACAGGAGCGGAGTAGGAGAAGGTCCTTTTGTCTAGTTCAGTCCTCACTGAGGGAACACTGCAGGTAATAATGTCCTGAGAGCGCACTCCGTAGCTGCACTCACGCAGAGACATGTAGGATGAGATGTATGAAGGCAGCAGACCAAGAAGTGATTTAAAGATGAAAATGTACCAGTGAGAGAGTCTGCGTGAAGTTAATGATGTCCAGTTAACCAATCTTAGATCTTTGAACACTGTTTCTTTTTATACTTTATGATTTTTCTATTTGTGGGTGTAACTGGGACCTTGAGTACATCATTTTGTTCCACCTCATGTACCACATGTGATGGAAATGACAATAAAGAACCTTGAACTTGATAAAGATGTTAGTGAGAAGAACTTCACTTTTCTGTATGGAGTGAATCAACTACACGCCTCCTCTTCCTC